TTATAGATTCCCCCGGTGTTCCCCTGGGATGCTTAGTGGTTACTTAGCGCGCACGGCGTTGACCAGGTGTTCCCGTAGCGTAAGCTAGCTTACGCAATACGAGAGAACCTCTCGTAAGAGAACGAATCGGTTACCTAACGTAACCTCGGTTCTCTCTAGATGAGGGAACGAGTATTGCGTTCCCGGCCGTGCTTGCGCCACTAGCGTTTCGCTTCATGCTACAGAATCAACGAACGAGCTGGGAGAGCGACCTTTATACACTGTAGCCACGCCCCTTTTGGCGGGCTGTGACGCAGTAAGCGAGCGCCGTCCGCTCATTGGCCGCGGACTCAGCGCCGCTCTCCCATAGGTTCGTGCATTCTCTCTGAGCGAACCAATGAGCCGCTAGCTAGCCCGCTCATGGTCTGCCTCAGAAGAGACTGCGTTGACAATGATTACAAAATTATGGAATAATTTTTTGGCTTCAACTTCTCAGCAAAGATGAATCTTTCCCGTAGCGTAAGCTAGCTTACGCAATACTCGTTCCCTCATCTAGAGAGAACCGAGGTTACGTTAGGTAACCGATTCGTTTTGTTTGTTCAGTTTGTTGACTTCTTTACACCCAGCCAGGCGTATGTATGACATGCCAATTCATATTTCCGTTTTTGGCGTGCTATCAACACGCATTATGGCTTTTCAGCATGTTTATGAATGCCGTTGACTTAACGTTACATTACTGTATAAATATATGACCTACCCCAACCCCGTCACTGGGGTTAATAGCATTTATGAGTCTTCCCCTACCATCCTAGGAAATAAAAATATCTCTCCCCAGATAAAGATCTACATTTTGCTTTGTTTCGCTTGGACAAAAAGCGTATGGATAACACGCCACTTGACTTGAAAGTGGCGTGTATGTTTACGCATATCTCATCATGTCATGTTGACACAGCAGTGTAAAGTTTTCTTAATAATTTGACAACATGTATTATTTACTTCAATGAGCTTGTTGTTTCTGCCGTAACTTGCATTGCATTAATTGTATTAAAATTGCTTGCATTGCATTAAATCCATTACTTACACACAGACAGTCACCTCCGATAACAGATTCATTGTCATTTAGACACATGCATTTTCTGTCAAGCTGCTTTAAAATGACATTTATTTTGAAAAATGCTATGCAAATAAATGTGAATTGAATTACACTGTGATTATTGCACAGGTGTGCCTTAGGCTGGCCTCAATAAAAGGCCACTCTAAAATGTGCAGTTTTACTGTTTTGGGAAAAAAAAAAAAAGTTGCTGATTGTGGCCTGTGGAATGTTGGTCCACTCCTCTTCAATGTCTGTGTGAAGTTGCTGGATATTGGCAGGACCTGGAACACGCTGATCCAGAGCGATCCAGAGCGATCCAGAGCCAGTAGGCCAGTAGGCGGAGAGCAGGCGGAGTGAAAGCAATCCGGTTGAATGTGCTTTCGACTAGCTCTGGAAATGACCGAGCTCAAAACGTTTTAGACCACGTTTACACCTGTATTTAGCATTGCCCACTTGTGATCGGATTGACGAAAACGCTTCTTAATACAGGTGTAAACAGGGTCTGTTTCCTAAATTTCAGATAATCCAATGAAATCTATGAAATCTTTTTGGCTAATTCTGCTGCAGCCTTAAAGAGAATCAAACTCTCACATCTTCAGATCTCAACAACTTCTCAGATTGTATTCAAATTTGCTAATATGTACCAAAGTCTACAAGAAGTATTGAATAACATTCTTCCAATAAGAATATTTTTCATCCAATTTTTTGGTAACATATTGTAGACTAAACCATTTTTTAATCTTTTAAATGTCACAGACTTAAATATAATTATCTTCATATCCCCAATCCTAAATTTATATAGTTTCTAGTATAAAGGCCCAATTTATACAGTGAAAAAAAGAATATTATAAATATGTCTAAAACATTATTTGAAAAATATTAATAATCATATTTAATAATATTAAAATGTATTTACTTATTTATTTTAATCTATGTTTTATTTATTGATTTATTTTAATCTTTGTTCATTACGTATTTATTTTGACATTTTTTCCACCGTTTTTCTCACACTTCCTTGCGAACCCCAGTTTGAAAACCTTGAGTTATATGCTATACTACAGTACTATAAGAAATCATATTATTCTATCTTCATTTTAGAAGAAACATCAAAGACATAGATGTACAAAAAGGTAACTATAGCTTCCCAAGCAATGAAAGAGCAACCACTGAGCAATAAAATATTCCTCTGGGATTATTTGTGGAAATTCAAGTGTAGCATGTCAAACGCAACATGTCTTGCATAATCAGAATGACATACTGAGAAGAAAAATGCAATTAGTTATTTTAATAGGTACCAAAAAAAATGAAAAATAAATAGGTCTCTGTGCAAGGTGCCATAATGGAGAACGTAGAAAACACCTTGTATGTTCTGCTCTGGGTTAATTTTAGTACATGCGCTTTTGCTTCGGTCTTGATACAGAGAGCTAATAAAAGCTCAGCAGACTAACTCACTTCTCTGAGACAGTCTGTCAAGATTCTATCATATCAAGCATCAAAACTAGATCATTAATCAGAAATCAGACTCCAGCGCTGATAGTTATCTGGAAAAATGGAGGGGGTTTTAGAGGACAGCATCTCTGAGCCATACTACCTGCAATTCAGAACCGCAGTTACCAAGGCAACCGGGTGGTCACGTGATCCATTCCGAATAAGGAGCCGTGAAACACATTCTCGCTCTCTCTCTCTCTCTCTCACACTCCAATCTCCCTGTTGGCTGCTTTAGCGTTCCTGAGCTCAACAACCATCTGTGTAATGACACACTTGCACACACACATACAGTTTTCCTCCAGACAGAAGGAGAACTGTAATCATGTGAAGCCAACATGCGAGTTGAATACATATGACAATGCAAACATGGAAAGTCTTTCCTTTCAGTGTGTAAGAGAACAATAGACACTATCTGTCCCGTCTCCACTGAGTCAAGCAGACAGGAGCACGCTGTTTCAGCGTTAAACAATACGCTGCAGTGTGTGTGCGTCTGTGAGCTGTCTCATCTGTACAGGGGGCTTGAAATTCACTTACTGAGTGAAACCTGCTGATTGGTAGTAAATGCGATCCTGCTGTGGCTTGTAAACTGTCTGTGCATAAAGTGTCAGCGTGTGTACATCACATATTCAAAAGCCCTGTCGCAAACTGCAAAATTAAAGGAGTGGATGAACAGCACTTTTGGCACCTGCTCCAATACAGAGCAATACAAAAGAGTTTAGTTCAAGGGAAGACAAGCATTGGAGACTGAATAATGAGAAACAATGCATCAGTAAGGTTAAACCTTCAGATGACGCTTTATTATTGAGGCTCAGCCCATTCTCACTCCCAAGGCGTCACCTAACTGACGCCTTGGGAAACATTTGGACATGCTTCAATATCTGACGCTTTAGGCGCCCTTTAGCGTCAGTAAGATGACGCCCTAGGATCGCGTGTACCCTACCCCCACCCCACACCTAAACCTAACCGCGTCCTCTAACAGACGCTTTCCTTTAGCGTCAGTTAGATGACGCCATAGGATCGCGTCATGTAAGTGACGCTAAAGGGCGCCTAAAACGTCAAATATTGAAGCATGGTCAAAGGTGACGCCTTAGGGTGAGAATGCGTTGTGAGGCTAGTCCCTACGAAAGAGCTCTACTGTGGAGGCTAGGCCCCATGACAGAGCTCCATTGTAGAGGCTAGAGCCCAAGACAGAGCTGCACAGTGGAGAGAGTAGGTGACAAGAATTTACTTGTCATTAGAGCTGCAACAATTGATTAAAAAAATCGTTATTGAAATCAGTGTGCAACAAAGAAATGTTTGTTGTAATCTTAGCTTTTAAATTAATCACAATGAGTTTGTTCCTATATATAATGCGGGTAATTTTATTTTAATAAATTTAATTGTTTTCAGAAACGCTACTTTGAGTTTTTTTGTTTGTTTTATTGCATACTGTATTGCTTACAGTTTTATCTGCACACTTTATATTATATATTTCAAACAATTTGCGCACAAACATAGATTACACAAACATCAATTTACAATGTTTGAAGTTCGGAGAGCATTGAGTAAGATATGTATCTGTGATGAAAAAAATTAAACTGCACTTTTAAAATGCAATGTATTCCAGTGATGGCAGAGGTTGAATTTTCAGTATCATTACTCCTGTTACTTCAGATTCATTCTAACATGCTGGTTTGGTCGTCAAGAAACATTTTTTATTATTATCAATGTTGAAACTGTGCGGCTTAATATTTTTGTGGATGTTTAATATTTTAAATACTTAATTTTTTTCAGAATTCTTTGATGAATAGAAAGTTTAAAAGAACAGCATTTATTCATTTATTTATTTAAATTGTTAACAATATAAACATCTTTACGGTCACTTTTGATCAATTTAATGCAACCTTGCTGAATAAAATAAATATATATATAAATATATATATTTAATGTTACTTCTTGATATCTTGATATCAAACTTTTGAATGGTAGTATAGATGTATGCGTGTTGCCTTGTAAACGAGTAACTTTGAATCGTAAATTGCTTATGTAACTCCAAAACTCCAACACACACACACAGGCAGGGGAGGGGGGAGTGGAGAACTGGAGCAGAAAATCTGACCCAATCACTGTGCTGTAACAGCAGCAATGCATTCTGGGAGCAAGCACACATTCATAGCACTTTATATCAAAATACAATAAACTACATTGCATATGGACAATTTTTTCTAGTAAATTATTAGATGTATTATTATATTCTAGTATTAATAGCTGACTTGTGTTCTGTTTGTATGCAACCAATCTTCTCTTGCATATCTAAATGTAATGACTCTAAAGTTTATGTGTATGTCAGGATAATGTAAAGGTGAATCAGCATAAGAAGATAAGTTACTACCGTAATATTCATCTTCATTCAACCATTTGTCTCTCAAACACACTCTGTGTGTTTGTATGTTGAATACAGATGCAGATGGTTTTACCTCCAGGTCAACAGGGGGAAGTGTGGAGCCACATCCCTGAGATGTTTTATTGAAGACCGGACTTGAGTGGAGAGGCAGAAAAGACAAGGAGAATGTGACAGCTCGAAGTGTAAGACACACACACTAATAACTTCAGATCTGTCCTCCAAGCCCAAATACACGCATACACATGCACACAAGCTCATAACCTTAGAGATGTACTCAAATAAACCCCACACACTAGCACATTGTTGGCTAGGGCCCGGGCCTCTACGTAAACACAAGCTCAGGCTAATGAGTAACTCCAGACCAGAACACAGAGCAGACAGCGAAACTGGAAGCTTTTGTTCTTTTGTTTGATTGGCCGAGATGATTTGAAAAGTAAATGTTATGATGATTATTGGGATTGTTTTATTGATTATTCTTGTTTACACAGATCATGATCCAAGCACCAAATTGTGGATGACTTTCAGGAAGACTGTTGACAGAAAGAGTCTGATTTCCCTCCAGGTAACTTGTTCTGTTTAATTTCTATACTTCCCCCTCCAGATAGCCTAGATATATATATATTTTTTTTTAAGGTCAGGACTGTGTGTTGAAAGTGATCACTACTTCCTTCTTGATTCTTCCTGATTAGTGCACATGGTTTAGACTCTTAATATCCGTCTGAGAACCAGAGGTTAACTGACACACTAACTATGGGACAAAAATCGAAGAGAGAAACTCACAAAACATGTATTGCGACTTCTAAAAACAGTTTATTTGAGTTCTTTCAGTGCACAATTCAGTAAAGGAATTATGCAAATTAGGCAATGCCATGAATACACCAAAAAAATTGGTGATGAACACAATTTGCAGACTGTAATTCCCTTCTTAACGCTAGTGGAGGATAATGCAGACTACTACAATCTGTCATACTTTATCCAAACACCTTAATTGGCTCTTTCAAATGCAGAAAGTGTGTTTGACCACACCACAGTCTGGGTGTCTTTTAAAGTGTTCTTCTCTTGTCAGAACCAATAATCTAACGTGCAGCGCTCCAACATATATAGCAAGTACAGTTCAATTCCTGACTCGAGGTCCTTTGCCAATCCCGTTCCTCCACCCCGTGCTTTCCTGTCTGATCTCTACACTGTCCTATACAATAAAGCCATAAAAAGCCAAAAATATAACAAAAAAGTGTTCTCCATCATTTGATGAATTACTACTGTTATTATCAGTAGATAAATGTACTAAAAAATGCTGTCTATTTCTGCTAATTGTGCCAGGCAAACAGGGCTGAGCTCTCTATAATGATCCTAATTTACCTAGAAATTTTGAAGCCATATAAAAATGCAATTCAAATGATTCACCGTTCAAATGATTTGGGTCTGTACGATTTTTTTGAAGAACAAAAAAACTACTGTTTGTCCACAAGGACGCGTTACATTTTAGAGCCTTATTGCCTTTTTACCTTTAAAAAAGGCAATAAACCACTCATTGTATTTAACAAAACCCATTCTTAACTCTGTAAAGCCCTGTAATGCACAACATGTCATGCCTTTTTGCTTTAGCTGAATGAAGACTAAATTGTGTATCTTGAGTAAATGTGCTGTCTTTTTAAAATTCTACGAAACCATCTGTTGATTAAGCAATTGAGTTGAGTTTAATTTATATAGCTCTTTTGCCAAGATTGAAGCACTTTACAAGGAACAACCGAAATACTGTACATCTGTTCAAGGAATAGGTGAACTTCCCGTTTATTGAGTCTATAGTAGGAGATAAACCTAGAATGACAAGAATGTGCCTTGCCGATTCATATTGGTTTTAGTTTGTTTGTTTAAAATATGGTAAATATTAGGACGTGTGTGTGTGTGTGTACTTCAGAAATACAAACAATAGCTTGAGGGAACGTTTTAAATGAACACGAATGCAATAAAACATAGCCCCAGCAGCCAGTACTAAAATAAATTTTTGTTGATTGTGTTTCTAAAAAAGTGCAGAGGTGGTTTGCTAACTCATTTGGACAATGTCTTGAGAACTGTGAAAACTTTTGACCTGGTAAATTTCTTCATCCTACACGTACAGAGCCATCTCTCAGGATGGAAATTGCTCTAATGAAAACAATGGCGAGGGAACATAAACACCACTGGCAGACAAAAACACGCTTGCACATGGAGACCTTGAGATTCCTTCTTCAGTAGTGTACAGACTCCACATTAGTCTGATGACTGTTTAGCGGCTCACTGATGGCAAAATGCACTGTGACTTTGAGTGTGTGTGTGTTTATTTAAGACTGCCATGGTTCCTTACAACTGACTAGAGCCAGTCTGAGATGTTAACACACATACACACACACAATCCCTGAGCCTCACCCTGAGTCGCAGCCTTGCTATGAGTGTTTTGTGATAGTGAGTGAGATTTGATCATGCCATGTCCTTCAAGTACAAACATCCATAAATCGTGTTCCTGACAGATGCTTGATAAAATGAAATGTGAGCTCTCTCACCTGAACACACTCTTGTGTAAATGTAGTGCACACTTATGGCTGCTTCTTCAACTATGGACACTTTTAATTTGTCAACTTGAAATGTCAGTATACTGTACATACATTACAGGAGAATTCAGATATTTTCTGAGCAAACAAATGTCGTTTCCACAATTCCGCAATGTGTTACTTTGATAACATGGTTTTGTTGTGGAAATAACATTTTGAAGATTTTAGAAATAAAACAGCAGATTCATACAGGTTTTTTCACAACAGTATTTATGTAACTCAAAATAAATGTTACACTTATTGTCTATTTTTACAGAATTACAGCTTGACTGGATAAATTACATTTATGCTGATTTTCCTTCACATATCTCTTATAATATATATATAAAACGCTGTGATGGAAATGATACCGCAACTGAGGAATAGTCAACATAATTTTCTAATTTGTAATAATAGTTTGTAATCATTGTTTATGATTGATTTTAAGATTGATCTTTTTACCTGAGAGAACGGTAAAAAGAATCTAAATATGGGGGAAAAAAAGAATATTGAAAACATGGTGAAATATTTCCTAGACTTTTCTAGATGAAAAATCTGTCGTTTTAATAAAAATCAACCTCTGGGACTAAATAATTGAAGAAAGCCCACAAAATCTTTTATCAGGTTATTAGAAGGACTTTAGGTTTCATATCTGACTCTTTAAAGATTCATACAGTTACAAAAGACTGAAAATATCTGAGATTATGCTTAGTCTAAACATAATCCACATATCACCAGAAAAAAACATGGACGCACAAATCTACAGAGTGTTTAATGTTTTCATTCTTGTGGGAAACTTGCTGTCCTAACAAGAGGCGACTGCATTGTTCATTAGGCCTTGATTATACAATCAACGTCCTGAACACAACAACAGTTACGCCTTCACTCCTGTCTGTCCTTTCACAACGCTCTATGCAGGAAATATATAATGATACATTTATTGTTCTGAATTTCATATAAAACTGCTTGTCATTCTGTACATTTTTGTCATTTTCATATTTCTCCTGTCTAATGCTCTCATATAGTGCTAAGACTGTGTTTTGTGTGTATCTTTCTCCAAGGGACTGTAACAGACAGGTGGGGTCAGTGGGGGTCTGGCCTTTGATTGGCTGTTGCCGTAGGAACCATAGGAGAGCTGCCATTCTGGCTCATTCTTCCAGTTCCTTCAGGTCATTGCCATGGCAACCCAGAGAGAGATTCCATGATGATGACACACACATCAACAGAATCAAGGAATCTGATCTGCTAGGTAACAGTTGATAATTAACACATGATTATATAAATATATAATTAAACACGTGAAGTTACCTTGCATTTTGTAGGTTGATACGTGTTAAAGGGATAGTTCACCTAAAAATGAAAATTCTGTCAGTTCTTTCTTTATTTTTTTTCTTCTATAGAACACAAAGTAGAAATTTTTGAAGGATGTTTCAAGTCAATGGGGTCCAAAACAATACTGGATTGCGATCTCGATTCCAAACACCGACGCAATCTTATTCTTAAATGACAGCGATTCTCCCGTGTCTATTAAACCTTAGACAAGATCGCATCAGAACATTTAAATCTGTGTTTGCGCTGCTGAGCCAGAGAGCGAGAACCAAAACAGCTTCACAAACAGTTTTTTTAACACCACAGTATGGTTATTTCTGTTACAAATATTCAGATTATCACAGATGTACTAGGATAGATGTTTAAACTTCAGATATAAACACTGATGTCTACGGTAGCGATCAAAATAAAGCAAATCATCTTTTGAAAGTGACTTGCCGCTTCAAATAATGATTCATTTGTATCATTACATCGTTACACCAGTAGGTGGCGACAAGTGATTGTTAAAAAATGTAATTGTTAAAGCAGCACTATGTAACTTTTTCTAACTTTATAATATTTTTCCAAAACCCTTGAGATGGTACGTCGATTTACAATAGGTTGAATGACAGGTCTGTATCCCTTTTACTGGCACTCTGTAACTTCGAGGTGCGAGTAGGAACCCGAGCACAAAAAAGAACTACAAAATTCTACAAAATTTGACTTCCTCAATTTCCGACGCAAGAGCCTAACAAGCGTTTTTTTTACCTCTATATGTTGTCGTGGCTCCGGTCCAGTGCATCAGTCTTCCCCCGCCTAGCAAATGTGAAGTGCGTCAGAAACAGAGCGCTCACGCGATCAGTTTACTGTTGGTAATGTGTTGTGTCCGCATCCAATGTAGACTGCATTGCTTTCTTTTGAGGGCACTTAAGACACTCAATCATCCCCATAGGGGATGAAACATTTCACACACAACACTGGAGTCTGCCCAAGATGTGAGAACTCCTTCCTTCTGTAGAGTTCGGGGGTATCGCTTGTCAGATTTTGGCAGATTTTACAACAGTAGTAGGAGACAATACTGTTTCCCAACTGTAGGGGGACCCCGAGAGCAGATTTTCAAAAGTAACATAATGCTGCTTTAATGAATCATTCATTCAAGAGATTTTTTTTAGAAAACCCTGATTCATCCAGTAATGAAACAAGTATTTATGAGCGAGTCATTGAATCATACATTTAAAATAGATTTAAAAATAAAATAAAAATCATTCAAACTAATGAAATACTTATACTAGCAACATTTTGTCAGAGCCGTTTACTTACTTTCTAAATGACGTATTTTGATTAGTTGTATGTTCTCTATTTGAAACTAAATAAAATTATTCTAAATGTATCCAGAATCGTTCCCATTGACTTTGATTTATTTAAAATCTTCTTTTGTGTTTTACAAAAGAATTTTCACAGTTTTTTGGTCAACTATCCCTTTATTTCTTCAGAATTCACAACTACCTGCTGTGTTTTCTAAGAAAAATGTGGGAAAACAGAAAACAACCTGCAGAAGCACCTGCAACTCCAACTAATAAATCATTTTAAACGCAAAATAATTATTCAGAAAGCTTGTAAAATGTAAAATGTTCAAATGTGAAACAATAGCAGGCTCAGTTCTTTAGCTCCTCTCACAGAGCACATAAAGCCACCAATCACTTTCCACACAGTGCACACAGACCGCAAAGGATGATGGGACAGAACCTGACTAGTGACTGACACTAAAACTTATCAAGTTTTACCGACACAACTAAGGCTGCCTGAGGAAAACATCAAATAATAAAAAGAATGCTCCACTAATCTGAAGTAGTTAACAACGGTGTGACAGAATGGGCACGTAGACTTTGAAATGGCTTCTTTTTTTGGTTAAGTGACGAGTCCAAAAATAACTGATTTTGAATGCATCTCTAATTTGGGACTGCCTCAGATGTGCTTGAGTTATCTGTCCCTTTCAATGATCTTCCACAAAGAAATGCACACACACACACACATACATTCAAAGCTCTGCTTGGCTGAGCTGCCTCTGTCTGTGTCAGTGCCATCCTGTCTCACCGCCTCCTTCCTGTCTCTCTCTTGCTTTCATGTCTATCCCGCTCTTCTTCTGACAAACACTGAAAACTGTGATCGCAATCACCTAAATATTCATCTCAAAGAACCTGGTGCACCAAATTCAGTATAAGACTTCTGAAAAAGTTTTCACTATGATTCTTTCAACGATTGTCTTTCATGACAATCTTTTATTAGTGGCGCACTTGAGGTAGAACACTCACTGTACAAAAAAATCTCTTTCATGATTAGTAATCACAGCATTTTTTCTTTTGTCAAATCAACTTAAATAATTTATTTAGTTCAGATAACATATAATTTTGAGTTTCTGATGATTAAATCATTCACCTTCGTTGTATTAACTCACTTTTTCCATTTTAATGAACTTAAAATTTTAAGGCAACCAGGTTACTTACTTTTTTTAAGTTAAACCAACAATATTTTTTTTTACAGTGTTTGGATGTTGTTTGCTATTGGCCAACAGGGATCCAGGTTCAAATATAGCTTGAGTTTTCATCATTTCATTTCCTTTCTCTCTTTCAATTTCCTCAGGGACATTTGTCGATTTACGTATTTTCCGACCTGAATTATGAGCCATGATGTAATTTTTAAATGCGAGGGAAAAAAATACTGCGTTTTTAATTACGGTACCTTTTTTTTTTTTAATCCCGTGATCCGCATCATTCATTTCAGCCAGCGTCCAAAATAAAACTAAACTGTGTCACTCATCAACTGGCCGATAACTGCGGCTACATGTTACAGAGTGAAGCGAGGAAGCTCATGATCTGGTGTTTTCCACCTAAATAAATGCTCCACAGCCATAAATATTACTGTTGTAATTTTACTGTAAATATATATTATTATTATTATTAAATTCTATTTTTATTTAATAATAAATAAATAATAATAAAATAAAAATATTGTTTTGAATAATGATGATGATGTTTTTTATTTTTGCTGTATAGTCAAATTGAATGGAAATAAATGCAAATAAACAGCCCATAATCGATTCTTTCTCAACTCACCGACTGAAACTAGACAAATATTCTCTGATTCAGACTGTAACTCTCCTCTTATATGGATCTGCAATCATGAACTAACCCATCAGACAATACAGATCTTTCTCACCGTCGTGACTTTGCAACTCCAGCTGGGCTTATAACCCGGTGTCTCATACTGACATGAATCACCTGACCGCTCTGCTTGTTTCAATAGGTGACCTAATACAGGTCTGTATGGAGAATACAAATTTATTCAAAATAATTGCTAATTCAACTCATGAACGTCCATGCGGGACCAATGTGCAGATCTGTAATGTTGTCAGTCGCTCATGCAGGGTTAATGATGTTTTTGGTGGGTGAGTGACTCCTGTGAGAGTTACCTTCAGGCTCTTCTGCATAATACAAGCTCATTGGACAAATAAATGAGACCCTAACTGATGTAGATATTCATTTATCTCTACAACTCTCTCTCTCGGTGGCATGCACACAGAGGGAGTGAACAGAAGATTCAATTTCCAAAGTGTACTAACCAATCCTGTTTATGTAAGATCAATAATCAATACCCAAGACCTTATTTTTCAAATCGTTTTTACAGTGGATATTTTTTTCATGTGGTAACTATTTCACTGTTTTGTATACATGACAACATATTGGAGAACATTTAACAATTTCAGGAAAGAAATCAGCGCTAAGTAGGTTCTCAGTTTGGTTTGATGTTTCCAGGTTGAAACGCATGACTCATTCAAGCAGCAGTTTATTGGTGTGAACGTGAGGATTATGAAGCTTACTCATACTCCATCTCATAAACTCACCTTAGTCTCGTCATTTCAAATCTTATCCGAAAAAAAAAACACACCATAGACCCGATTATTGGGCGGAGACGGTTTACACAGTGTTATTTCAATGTGCGGTGTCTGAGCGCTCTTTTTTTTTTTCTCACGGGAGGCGAGCGCGAGCGCACGGTCACTCGGTTCATTGTCTGCCGCATCGCCGTGAAACGTAACAAAGATTTTTCTACAAACAAAACATTCATGAACACAGATGCAGATAAACAATATTCGAATCATAAATACTGTTGTACATTATAAAACAGTACATTAGAAGCTAATTTGAGTGTAAAATACAGGGTAAAAGCATCAGTTCCATCCACACCCCACGCGCAATGCGCATGTGCCATGCAGAGACAAAGGATCAGGCAATTACGGTTATAGCTTAAAATGATAGATAAACTAAAAATATACATATATATATATAATATCATACAGGGCGCTTTGAGAAAAAAGACTTATTCATATTCACTTTACATTAGTGAGTGACAGAGTAAAGAAATTGTCAATTTTGCTCTGTGTAGCATCTTAAAGTATAAAGAAATTTTGTATAAACAGTATAAGTTAATTGTAAGGATTTGTCGTGTGTATATTATTTATAGGCTTCAGTTCCGTAATATCTGTGTATGTATGTGTGTGGGTGGGTGGGTGAGTGCGCGCACGCGTGTGCACCAGTAAGACAGCGCTGCGAAATGTGTGCCAGCTCTGACAAAAGAGGCGGTAAGCATAAATACGCGTCTGTGTAAACATAAAAACGCAGGATTTTTCAATGTAATCATAACAAAAACCATTGTCCCATGAAACATAATGACTTCTCTGAAAACCCCGTCATTTATCAATTTGCGCATCAGAAAACACTCTTTACTCATTATGCTTTATCCTAATATTCCATAAGTCGTATCAAATCAATTTTCCTTAAGTATTTGTATTAAAATAATAATAATAACCAGTGGAAGAACGACGGCATGCACGCGCGGAGACAGTCCTTGTCTGTTCAGAACACGCCCCTCTCCACTCACTTCAGACGCGTGAATTCCAAGGCTGATTTATTGAAATGTTTATGTGCATCTCAGAAATCAAATAAGCTCAGATACATTATTCCTCCATTCCATGACGTGCTGAAATTTGCACTTGATTTAGATATTTCCCCAGTTCACTACCGTGCGCTCTGGCACTCCAAATGGGAGCCGCTCTTATTTATCAGTGACGCTCCAACTAGACAAATTCTTAATGTAACTGAGGCAGAGTGTTCATTTCATCTATTAAAAGAGTGAAAGAATCTTACCGTCGGCGGTGGACTTTCTTGTCACTCCTTTCTCGAACGTCTGCTGTTTTTTTTCCAATGTCTTTTTTCCCGTGCGCGTGGATTCGGCGGGGTTTATCGGGGCTGTTCGGTGTGTGTCTCGCGCTGCATTTCTCGCGCGCACTCTCGTATTCGGTTGGGGGGCGGGGGCGCGCGACGTGCTGCGAGCCACTGAGAACGAGACTCGGAAGTGCGCCTCACAGTGATCAAGTCCCGTTTGAAAAGAGTTGTTTTATTACTTACCAGAAGAAAAGTGAATGAGCTACAAACACAAATTGTTGGTCTTCTGTTTTAATTTGTGGTTTAGTAAGATGTCTAAAGTAGTGGATTATTTTGTCTGGTAGTTTTAATGCTGGTCAATGTGATGAATTCAAAATATTCGTAACTTGTACCAGCTATAACCCAGCGCACATGAGAATAAAATGTTCATTAATTTGTTTTAGTCTTGGCGCGCCCTCTGGCGTCATCAGTTGATGCTGCAGAGAAAATATTTGAAATGTGAGTTCTATTTCCCACTTTACAATATATATTACAATATATAGGAAAATGAATGTAAAAGTGTAAAAAGTAGAAACATTTTTTTTTTGTCAGTTCACATGTTCTTAAAAAACAATTAGGTAAAATCTATATTGTTACAATATGCAGGTTCGGATTCTCCATAAATAGAGGATAAAGGCTCAGTGTTGTTGACACCTTTATTTTTTCAGGATACTTAAATGTCAATTGTTTATGCAAGGGATTTTCTGGAACAGAGAGAATAAGCTCATAAGAACTGCAGATGTATGTAGGCTACATACACTCTTTGAAGAAGATACAGAGCTGTCAGCGCTAAAAATGTGAGGGGGGGGGGGCATTGAATTGCTTAGTTCTGTGAGGTGAAGAAAAAGATTTTATTTATTTTTAAAAGACAATGTCGGACATAACAAATAAGCATCACTGCTACAATTCACAAATAAAATCACTTAATGCTAATGATTAAAATTGTCTTGTTGCTTTGAGTAAACATCACAAATAAAAAAATCAATAACATGGCAATTATATTTTGAGAATATTTCTCACATTATTGTATCTGTACCATCTATATTGTTAGATCACAGAATATCACTTTTGAACAAATCCACCCCAATTTTTTGGTAAAATTTCCAATAACCCGAAACCCAGGATAGAGCGGCTGAGTGAATGTGGTGTGGACTCTGTGAATGAGGGTCATTGTGTCAGAGACGCTGTAGAAGGACAGATTTCCTGCTCTGTGATCCACATACACTCCTATTCTACATGAGCTGGAGACTACAGAGAGTTTAGTTTTTTTGTTTTTATGCCAAAATGAGCAACTGGATTCAGAGCAGAACAAAATCCAGGACTGATCATTGCATCCAAACATACATTCATCTCCCTGTCCCTTCCTTCTGATGCTCTGATATGACACTGATATATCCACCTCACCACTCCACTCAACCTCCCAGTAACAGCGTCCACACACACTCTCTCGACACAACACCTGAGGATGACCATCAAATCTGTCTGGATGATCAGGATACTGCTGAACTTTGTCAGTGTATTTAATCAAAGAGTCCAAAAGAGAGCGGACGGGAATCTGTTTAAGGTAAAAAATCATAAAAATTAAACACCAGACCTTATTTACATTTAGGATTTTATTTATATATGAAAAAAGTCAGTGATGCTAGATACTTTAGGGAAAAAGCTACACAACATCAGCCTCATTGTTATCAACATCATAACATGTGTGGGTGTGTCTGTGTGTGTTTGGAGTTGACCAGAAGAAATTATAGTTGGTTAAAAATGTAGAATCGAAAAGTCAATTCAAATTTCTGTTTAGTTTTTAGTCCTGTTCAAATGTTTTAAAGACAGCAGCTCCATCACAAACTGTACAGTTTACAGCTAAAGGTCCATTTAAATGTTTCTCTGTCAAAACAAAAACTAGCAGTGTCCACACCAGGACGTTTAACTAACCCAGTAAGAGAAACTACCCTTGCGAAAAAGAAGTTAATGTGTAATTTAATTCAATTAGTGTGTAATTAGTATACTTTTTTAAACTAAGAATAAGAAAGAATACTTTCAGTCTACTTTTTATATACTTCTCAAAAATGTACTTTATACTTCTCAAGTATGCTTGACTTAAACTGAAAGAAAGTCTTTGGCCTACTACTGTACATATATTTCGATCGAGATATACTTAAAAGTGTGTTGATGTGAATCAAGAGAGCAGTTCTGCACAGTTCAGTCTGATTGTCGATATATAACAAGAAATAAAGTTTGTTTTTTATGTACATGTATGATTATAGAGACTTACATTGGAGAAACTCCTCATGGGTCTTGGGTTCAGGGGTGTGAATGATGTTAATGTTTCTCACTATGGAAACCAACAGACATTTTATCTTAAATATTGTAAAATAATATAAAATAAGTTTAATCATCTAATATTTTAAACAACAATTGTTTTACATGACAGTAAATGCAAGGCTTGCCTCGGCCAGATATCTTTTCTGTTTCCTCTCTACAGAATTGCTCCAGTTTCTCGCTCAGATGAGACACAGATTTACCAACATCATCAAAAGTGAGACGAGAACTGACAGTGGTGCTGGGTGAGTCTGTAGATCCAGGAGGGACAGAGAGAGACTGGAAACTCTACACAGACACAAAGACACAATAAAAACACCAGCTAAAGACACAGAGAAATCTATTTCAAAATCAATTTGTTTGTCAGATCTTTGTTACCTGGAGGAAATGGATGTGATCATCTGTGTGTGAAAGCTGCTCTATCTCAGCATCTCTCCTCCTCAGATCCTCGATCTCCTGCCCCAGTTGCTCCAGTCGTTCTTCAGCTTGACACACTGCAGTCTTTTCCTTGTCTCTGATCAGCTGTGTCACCTCAGAACGGCTTCTCTTAATGGTGCGGATCAGCTCAGTAAAGATGCTCTCACTCTCCTCCACTGCTGCTTGTGCAGAGCGCTGTTAGGACACACACACACACACACACACACACACGCATTAGAACCAGTCCATTCACTCAGCTCTTACTGGTCCCTCACACAGCCTGTTCCCCACAGTGGGCTTCAGGGGGACTGAAAGAGCTCCAGCACTGACTCCTCACAGTAGACTGACTCCCAGCTAACAAAGTTAGGTTCTGAGAACGTTTTTCTAACGTTCCATTTTGGTTGTGGGAACGTTAAAATGTTCTAAAAACGTGGAAATGTCCAGTTTGCTTAGTGTTGCTGGAACGGTGTCTTAATGTTTGCAGAACGTTGCTGGAACGTTAGCATAATGTTGTTAGAACGTTATCCTAAGGTTAGCATAATGTTGCTGGAACGTTATGAGAACGTTCATCAAACACAAATAACGTGATAAAGACGTTCCAAGAACGTTGTTCTAAGAACGTTTTCTCTCAACGTTACAAGAAGGTTAATAACGTTATATGAACGTTCCGAATACATTATTTTAATAACGTTTTGTCCTAACATTTACACAACTTTTAAAGAACGTTAGTGAATGTTCTGGGAACGTTCCCTGTTAGCTGGGCTGGAGGAGAGTCCTTAATGAGTGTGAAACAGCTCCTCCAGCAGTTCGTCTGCTCTAAACTCACCTTGTGAGTCTCTACAGCCTCTCTCAGCTCCTCAAGCTCCTTCAGTTTCTCCTCGATTCTCTGCTGGAATTTTCTCTGGGTTTCCTCCAACTGTCTCTATAATATTTAGTATACAGTCAATATACAACAATATACAAAAATTATCTTTGAATATATGTTATATAATTATGAAGAAACATTTATTATTCAACATAAACTCATAGTTCATACCTGTTTGTCATTCCTCTCTGCTGCAGCTGAAACAGTGTCGTGGTGTTTGTGTTCATCCAACATACACAAATAACATAAACAATGTTGATCAGTACGACAAAAAATCTCCAGCAGTTTCTCATGTTGAGAGCAGATCATCTCCTGAAGTCGTCCAGTGGCGTCCATCACTTTATGTCGCTTTCCTGGGTGAAATTCCTCATGCCGTTCAAAATGATTTTGACAGTAAGAGTTCAGACACACCAGACAGGACTTGATGGCTTTGTTTTTGTCTCCAGTACAGACGTCACACTCCACATCTCCAGATTCAGTGTAACACTGAGCAGGACGAGCTTGTAGGTTTGTCATCTTGAGTTTCTCCACCACTTCAGCCAGCATGGTGTTTTTACCTAAAACAGGTCTTGTAGTGAAGGTCTGTCTGCACTGAGGGCAGCTGTAGACTCCCTTCTGATCATCCTGATCCCAGCAGCCTGTGATACAGTTCATACAGTAACTGTGTCCACAGTGAATGGTCACTGGATTCTTCAGTAGATCCAGACAGACTGAACAATTGAACTGATCCTGAGCCAAAGAAATATTGGATTCTGCCATTTTATTTCACACACTCACAGACAGACAGACGTCCACACGGCAGCTTAGTTTCGATTTCTCTGAACTGAAACATTCCCTGGTTTTAAAACGTGTGCAAATGTGCCAATCATATAATATACACGACCGCTAGATGGCAGTCTTACACAGGACCTTGCTAGACAGTTTATGAGAGCAGAAATATGTAATTTTATTATAAAATAAAAATCTGTTGTTTATGCTGATTGTAACAGTCATTCTGTTCTTTTCACACAGGATTATCAAGTATCTGAACCCGTTTACATTCTTCTTTGTGAATGAGAGAGCATTTTAATGTAAGTTACATTTACATTATTTTGTCCAAACGGATTAGTATTGCATTGCATGGTATAGGCGTGTTGTTCAACATCAAATCATCAAATTGATGTATGCATGTTTTGATGCATTACCTTGGTGTTACTAGCACCAGGCATTTTCTTCAGTTTGAGCTACAGGAAAGCTTCTGCTTACTGTTTTTGGTAAAACAAATCATTGTTGAGGGTTTGATCTGTAGGTTTTAGGGGTATAAGTGAAATTCTCTAATTTATTTGTGCTGGCGGTAGTTTAAAAAAAACAAACTCTGTAGACAAATAAAACCTGACCAGACACGAGTTTTCAGTCCATTGCAAAACACACATATGCTTCAGAGAACGATTACAGCAGCACATGCCACATATCCTGGACTTCATCAGCTCTCGGGGATGAGGATCAGTGTTCAAATAGTTAAAACTGGACAGGTGATCAGTTGTCCACTAGTGTATGTTGACTAAAACAAC